AGATATTATTCAGGATCGACGATCCACTTCGTGCGTTCAGCACCCTCTTGATGTCCTCCAGTACATCTTCATCCAGAAGCAACGACGCGTTAATCTCCTCGTTCGGTTTATAATGACCACCTCGGCTGAACTGCCTGCCTTCAAGGCACAGCTAAACTCTTCGAAGGACAACTCGTCCCGATAAAGAAGAACATCCACCGCGGTAATAGCCTCGAAGGTGACGTCGCCGTCTTTCTCTCCCGACATACTGCTGACAAGGTTACATAGCTGTGCGCTATCGTCTACGGTAGACACACCCTGGGTCAGGGTCGACGCCCTGCGTCTCGCAGATAATAGACGACTCCGCCGTCTCCTCTCTGTAGAGGTTTACATCTCATCGAGATCAGTGGGAATACGCACTCGGCGTCGTCCAATATCCCCACTCCCTGCTCCATCGGAGCCTTGATGTTATCAACAACATCCGACGAATAGCTGCTAAATCCGCAGTCATCGTCCAGTGGATAACGTGCCACTCCATACGCATCTGAAGGGCCTTGCCCAAGATACCCCAAAACCTCGTTCGACCATGTCATTCTTGGCATGCAGCAACTGCTTCGAAACGTGAACAGTGCTCAGTGGATTACGTGCCACTCCACGCGCATCTCAAGGGCCTCGCCCTTGATGCCTTGAATCTCGTCCGATCACGCCATTCTTGGCAGTGCTTAGTGACTTACGTGCCACTTCTCGTGCATCACAAGGGTCTCGCCCTTGATACCTCGGCCCTAGGCTGACTGTACCATTCTTGGCATTCAGCGGCTGCTCCAATACTTGAGCAGCGCTCGGTGGGCTACGTGCCACTTCCCGTTTGGCCCGCGAGCCACGCTCGGGACTACATGTTCGGTGTTTGACGACTCGAATACTCCGATATCCAAAACATTGACCGTCCCGGTTCAGTGCCCGCGCCAATAGCGCTTCTGCTTCCTAGCGGAAAAGGGTTCATGACTAACCAAAGCTCCACTAGGAGACGTGCCCGAAGCGCCCAAGGTCTCTGACCTCCAATCAATCCATGGCTCATGGTGTTCCAACCATGCCATACCAAGGATAAAGTCATACCTTCCATCGAAGTCTAAGACTAGACAGCGTTCCACGCTATCAAAGTCAAGAAACTTGAAGCCGAGGTCCACAGGGACCCTCGGCACGGTGACACAAGTTCCCGTCGCTAAGCGAACAGTGGAGGTGCTACTCAACCGCGCTTCCAGCGCTTCGGCATACAGAAGACTTCCTTCCATCGTGAAGCATTAAGCATATTTGTCCGATGCACGAGAATCGCAATTTTTTCCATGGCTTCTCAAAGCCCTTCACAGTCGCTTTTACGACCAGCAAGCCCGGCTTGTACACAAGTTCCGTGGTCAAGAGCACGCAGCTCTTCGGGGCTAAGCCCTGCTGACCTTTACCTCTCCAAGGCTCAACAGAACTCAGTTCTTCCCCAGTAGGGCGCCCCGCGCCTACTGGGTGTTTTCTTTTCCCCGCGTCAAACCAGATTGGTTAGAGGCGGGTCGTCAGTTCGACGAACCTT